GCAGCTCCTTCAGGAAGGAGAGGTTCCCCGCCTCGATCATGCCTTTCTCCCTCAGCGCTTCGAAGAAGTCCTGTGCCCTCTGGATGGCTTCCAGCTTCTTCATGGGGACGTGCTCCAGGCTGAGGAACTTCAGAGCCGCCAGCTCGGCCTCGCCCAGCTCCTCGCCGACCGCCAGCAGCCGCTGCCTGGGGACATCCATGGCCCCGCGCCCGTCCCGGGGAAAGGCGGAGGCGCTTCCGCCGCGCAGGCCGCGCCGCAGGGGCCGCTGGGAGCTGTAGTTCCTTCTCCATGTCTAACTTAAACAAAGAAACCCGCAAACTTCAACGTAAACATTGCGCGTCCGCCAAAGAGGACCTCTCTCGGGCGCATGTGAGGCCCCCTCCCTTCACAGCGGTGAAGCACTGGCTGCTCGTGAGCCCATTCTTGAGAGAACTGAACCCACAGCGCCCGCCGAAAGAAAGGTCTCTCTCCCACTGCCCCGGCTCTTCCCACAACCACCTCTCTCTGGGTTAAAGGCACTCACGATTCATTGCCATCTTAATACAAACAGAAAGCAGCTCATACATGACGCCACTGACTCGACTTTCTCCTTGCGAGCCTTTCGGGGCTGCTGGCAGGCAATGCTCCACGCTCAATGCGGGTGTTCAGCCCTCTACCCCACCAGCCACAGGCCATGGAACCAGCTCCCTCCCCAGCCCTCCCAGATCGGCTGAAGACCCTTCTATAGCAACAGGAGTAGGCTTGCAGGAGCACCATGTGATGGCATAGGACCCTGAGATGGTGCACCATCTCTGATACACCTTCTGGTGCAGCACTCTCAATAGACGGTGTATCACAACAGCGGGAGGGAGGAGGGAAGATATTTTACCAGTTGGCATTTCCCCCAAACAAACATTAACACCTCGGTGCTCACCTTGAGCAGGAGAGCAACCCTCAGGGCACCCATGCTCTTCAAATAAAGAAAGTGTTTTTGCTAAGCACTGATTTAAAACCAGAGTCCCTTCCATGCAAAAATCAAGAAAAACCAGTTTGACCGTATATATAGCGGAAATCTTTTACATCATTACCATGGAAATGGCCTATCAGTGTTCAAACCCCCCACAAGACATTTGCTAACTGCATGTGTGGCAAGTTGGGTCAAAGGTGGAAGTAATCTGATTATGGCAAGACACCTTTTAACAGCCCATGAGCTAATACACCCTCAAGTCCTGTTAAAACAAGCTCTTCCTAGTAAATAGACTGAAGGAGGTGTGGATCCTTCTCTTTGCTCTGATACATCTGCACAATTCAGGCCTGAACACAACGTGGCTGCGCAAATACAAAACTAGTGCAAAAGACCTGGGCCAAGCTGAGAAGACATCATGTCCAGAATAACGTTCCACCTAGCTAGAAATGTATTACCGTCGGCACCCACAAGAGCCAGCCACGTTCAGGGCCTGGGGAATTCCTGTGGTTGTCTGTAACAGAACAGGTTCAGTAACAAGAAAAGGCACAATTACAGAAAGGACACACAGAAATTAGTATCTGGGAATTCCCAAAGTTCTCAACTATTTTTTAGCGCATCACACAGAAGTCACTGCAGATTAAATGTGCCATTCTCTGTTCATAATTTGACACAGCTCTTAGTTGAGAGGAGGCAGATCTGAACAGTTTCAGAGAGAACGTGCCCATGTTCGTTAAGGGTCAGAATCAAAAGGGTAACCAGCAAGGGCTGAACAAACAACATCTCCAGTGAAAAATCTAGCTCTGGACTCCCTGCTGCGTAGCCTAATCTCCTAAATTGTATATATTTTGTTTCCACTTCTCCCTGGACTTCAAGATTTCCTGAGGAAAATTTCCTGTGATCTTACAGATCACAGACATAGCCAACAGTTCACCTAATCAGAAGTCCCCAGTACCACTCCACTTTTGCACCACTTTGAGAACTAAGAATGAACCCTTATATAGGTGGCGGAAAAACATACACTCACAGTAGCCCGTACAATGGGAGAAGCTGGCAGCGATCTGAACTCGAGCAGGCCCCTCACACCCACCACTAACCCATCCCAAGGGTAGCACAAGTCACCCCAAAACCATTCAGGTGGAGAGAATGACACACTTCCCATGGAAGGTGGGCACAAACAGATCTCTGGGATCCTGACGTTAAACTGAACGAATGGGTGGCAAGATGCAAATGTGTGGCAGTGACTCATGCCACCGAGTAACATTATTTCTGACTGTGCAGCTAACAGTCCTCTCCAACTCTTCTGAGCATTTCCCTTTTCAAACAGCATCACTCTGACCTTGCCTGCCTTCAGTTTAAGCCTGCAGGGCTTTACCTCACCAACTTTGCTTTCCTACCAGCCTTCTGACTCCACTTTCTGGTGGCAGCACTTCTGCTGGCTGAAAACAAAACACAGCATCGAGTGCCAGGATTGTTTTGCCTGGAGAGGAGCTGGAGAAAAGGGAGACAGGCAAAGTTAACTATAGCTGAGGGTCTTTCAGAGAGAAAGGACAATTGCCCCTCGCCATTCTCTAACTTGTGCTACAGAGGGAAGAAAAGAGTTAGAAAATTGCAGATCTGACTTCCTTCTTATCTGTCGTTTCTGTGGGAGGGCCACAAATACGTGCAAGAGCGTATCAGGTGCCCTGCTGCAGGGCTGTGTGAGCATACTCTGCTCAGCACCGTGAAACTGAAAGTGCATTTTCTCCTTCCTTGATCACCGCACAAGCCACAGACACATTCACAGCGCGACTACTTTCTGCACTCCTTTAGAGGCTTTTGACAGGGTTTTCTCACCCTTCTACCAGGTCTTCAGCAGCAGGCAATAACGTTAGCTGTGGAGGCAGCCTGATTTTAACAGGTAGAACAAAATACCATGCCAATTTAATGACAGGGTGTGACTAGCCAGCACAGCTCCACCTGTAGAGGACAGCTCAGAGGGGCAGGGCAAAAGTCCAATGATCTCATACAGAAAGCTCAATTTACCTCAACATCAGGGAGACTGGAGTGTAACTTTAGTTTTGCAGAAGACAGCTGCACCTGTGAATCATCAGGTTCCCCAAGACAATTAGCAAACAATAATGTCTTCCTGAGTCAACTGGGGTGTGGGTGTGTGTTTGTGTGTGTGAATACATGGCTCAGCCCAACATAAAACTATAAAAACTGGACAACCAATAAAAGATTCAAACTTTGAAAAGAGTAATGGGCTTCAGCTGGCTTCAACCCACATGTACTATCGAAACTGAGGATGCCCAATGTCACGATGGTGAGCATACAGAGATGGGTAATGAGAATCACGTTTGTATTGTGATTCAACTGAATATTGCAATTGCACGATTATGCTTGTGTTCTGATTTCAGTATGTTGCTGTATCACTCTACTAAATCAAAATCCCATGAAGCACCAAATATACCAAATAAATAAATTTGATATCCAATTCCCCCTCATCTAGAATATATGAAAGAACTTGGCCTGAGTACTGAACTCTGACCCAGCGAATTATGAAAAACCAGACATGCTGTAGATTCACAACTTCCTTACCAGAGTAGCTGTCACCTTCCAGCAAGTTTCTCCCAGAGGAAGCAGTTATTTCATTTAAGCTGTATTTCCTTTTCATAAACCAACATTCACAAATCTAATTACAAACTTTGTATCAAGGTCTCATTTATGAAAACATTATAAAAATGTAAATAAATTGTTGCCACATTTCCTGAATGGTTAACCAAAGGTCAGCCACGAACCATATCATACCTAGTAACACCTTCTGGTTACTTTTGCCACAAACAGCACTCTCATTTACATAGTGCTTGTAATGTCTATTATTTATGAAACCTGTGTGAACAGAGCTGTGATTCTAAGAGTGGGTATTCCCCCTTTTACTTGGAAGGTGAAAAAGGGTAAGGGGAGCAAAATGCAACTGTCAACACACCGTGTGGAATTGGAAAAAAAAGTTTCACTTCAAGAACACAAGCAGGATTGAATAAAGAACCCCATCTTTGTGGCTAGACGTAGATTTCCAAAAAATACAAACTAACAAAAGACGTTACAAAGTGTTGTCTCAGATCCATCCTTTATCTTGTTATAAATTCAAAAAGAATGTAGCTGTCAGAATTCCATACAGCTCCCACACACCACCTACACCCTGCTGAGGATGCAAGGTAAGAACAGCCTCAATGGCAACAGCTGCCATTATCACGAAAGTCCTGAACTTAAACTCATTCTCTCCTACCATCTCTCCAGCTGCTAATGAAGGGATATCAATACACTTCCCATCAGAATGGCTGCCACTCAAGGAGAGCAAAGCAAGTCCTTCTGCTGATGTAAAAGTGTTCATCGTGCTGACCGTCCCTCAGTCAGCTCTTCCAAAAGAGAAACACACCACAAAGAAAGGTGATGTGTAAACCAAGAGTATTTATTACAACAGAAACAAGAGTCCACAAGAGCTAGAGCCAGCTGCCAGGAAGATAAGGAATCTCAGAGTCGCAGATTTAATGGAACGGGACCTGCCTTCCAGCAGTCAACAGCCATTCAAAACAGACTGTCCCATAAGAGCTCTGAGAAAAAACACAACAAGAACCCTTCCTATTAAAAAACCTAAACAGAGGCACTGTTTAGTCCAGTCAATTGATAACACAAAGAGAAACAAATATTTGGAGGAAAATAACAAACTCCTATCACCATCATTATCTTTTTTTGGTCCTTCTGGACAGGGATGGTATTTTCCATGAAAAATTATACAGCTTCCAGAGACAGCCAATGATTCACTTCTGGGTAAATCAGATACAACCTTACACATGCCCCCTGGGAAAGGATCTAGCATTCTGAATCCATCTGTTCTTTTCTTCAGATTTCAGGGACTTATAACAACTCAGACAGAAATGGGATTTCTATTGGCATTTCCAGTAACTCTTAAAAATCACACTACTTGGAAGTGCTTCCTCACTTGACACACAACTGAACAGATTCTATAGGGCAGAAAGCCAGACCTGTACTCCTCCATGGCCCTACCAGACCGTTACAGTTCCAGGTGCCAGTAGACTGATTAAATATGGTAATTAGAAAATTTAGGTCCCATGGCCCCTTGAAGGACTGGGGTTAACTACAGAGATCCAGATAATTCCTCTTGCAAATTCTCTTCCCTGTGGAAGTCCGTTACTGATGTGACTCCTAACTATGTGTATTCTTATTTTTCTACTTTCCAGTTGACTGAGATTGTGGAATTTGGAAGATCAATTGCTTCCGTAGGGTTGATCTTATCTCTGGCATCTGCTTCCATCCATTTAATAGTCTTGCTGCCACTTCCTTGTTCACTTCTGTCAGGATGGTTATGAGATCCTTGCGGCTTGAACAAAAATGAAGAAAAGTTACATTGAAGTACATGGAACTTGCAGCTAGTCCAAGAAGTTGATCTATGTTTGCTCCAATAAAGTGGTATCTCAGGGAAGGCTATTATCTTCCCCTCACCCTGTCTGTCACTGAAATTGCACACTCCATTGTGTAACCACTGAATTCAGTGCTTTGGGGGGAATAAAAACAACTTCCATGTAGCAATGCTTTACCAGCAAACACAGTCTTAGGTTATAGGCAGAAGAACGCAGTAAGATGAAACCTATGCATTCTCCAAGCCCTTTTCTGGAAACCATGAGAAAGTGATGCTTGAAGAGAAATTCTATTTTCTAAACCAAGTTTATGATGGGGATGGAACAATTTTAAAAATATGACTAAAGAACACTGATTTTATTGTCTGTGTAATCACTCAACAAATTTGCCTCTCATCAGGTGTCACTGGAACATTTATCAGTCAAAAAATGTTAAAAAGCACGCACGCACTTGTTTATATGTAATGTTCCAGCATTATAACCTTGGTTGTGTCACAGGCCAAGTAGGGGAAGTCACTTGTACTTCGGTTCATCTGTAGAAGAATAACAATGCCCAATTCCAGAATAATTACTGTTCTGCACTGTCCCACAGGTGGAAAGCATTATAAAGCACAAACACAAAACACAGATGTTTCAGCACAGCATGCTTAAGCATGTACATCTGCAATACTCCAAATGTATGTAGATTAAAAATAGTACTTACAGTGGACAAAGCAACTCCATCTTCTTACAGAGGCACTGAATGTAAATACTGCCAGTCTCCGGAGAGCGGTAGCACTCATAGTCTTCCATCGTAGCCATGCCAACGAGAATATCAGCCTGATCAGGAATGGTGGTCAGAGGGATAGCATCCGTCTCAAGATGCCCAGAAAAGTCGTCTTTTACTGTGACAGCTGGATGACCTACAGAGCCTTGGCAAGCCTGGATGAAAAACAGCTTGGGTTTGTCAGCGAGAGAGCGACAATTAGATGCACTGAAGCAGGAGAGTAAATCTTTAATATTTACAAGCTCATGATCAGTGCCTTTTATTTTGGCTTTTTCACCATGGGAAAAAATGAAGCAAACAAAACAATCCATGTTACTATGATCTTTTTTGCTGTATTCTTTAAGTTCTGCATACATTTGCTTTGCTTCTAGATTCCTGTGGACAACTGTCTTAAACTGAAGCCACTCAAAGACTCTCTTCACAGCCTCTGGGAAAAAAAGGCAGAAGGCGCTTGTTAAACATAAACAGCGACAAGGAAGATGCTGGAACATCAGTGTCTGTGTAGCAGAACAGATATTAGCATAGGTGTTCAGATCCCAACAATAAACTCACCTGACTGATTCTTAGCCTGAAAAATCTAATTAGAAAAAACAAAATGCCTAATTCTCGTTTTTTTCAAGTACAACTGGATTAAGCATCACACCGTCTAAAACAAAACCAGGTTTCCAATTATCTGACTAATAGGTACAAATTAGCAAAGCTTACTGTTTTAAAGCAAGCTGTAACTGCACATTGCATAGTAATCTCAGATGCTTAAGAACAACATTTAACAAGTTAAAGAAGAAGTACCTCTTTAAAATGACAAATTCTACCACTCGTAAATTAAGTAGGTCCCTCATTCTGTGACAGTGATCAACGCAGCAAGAAGGAAGGCGGTGTTTATCTTTTAAGATAAACTTTTATTTATCTTAAAACCAACTCTTGCAGGAAGACAGCCTTTAAGGAAATTTAAAAAGCAGCAGCATTCACTTGAGCATTAAAGAGAATTTAAGGACTGAAAAATATTACTCCATGATAGCCAAGAATTAAAAACAATTAAAAGGTGAAAAGATGGGATAGTAACCTTCACTATTTGGTACGTATGACCAACTAAGACCATGCTTTTCATCTAGACCAGAAAGTAGTTCCTTCTTTAAGCCATCAGCTAAAGTGTTGGAAGTGGTATATTTCCAATTTCTACACTGACTGTCACTGCAGTTACTCTTGAGGCAAAGGAGCTAAGTGGACATGATTCTTCTTCACAAGAAAGATTATATAGTTCTTTCAGATAAATATCAGAGAAAAACAACAAACCAGTAACTGGATTTAAAAAGCACTTACTTTCATCTTCCAATGTTCCTTCTCTGACGTCATATGGATTTTTAAAAATGTGGTTGTTAAGAATCACACAGTAACCATGGGGGTTATTTTTCATCTTATATGATTCCACGGGCTGTAGAAATGAAGAAAGTGGATAGGCGGCTGTGACAAGCATCCAGAAGAGAAATATGCTATACATGGATTGTTGTTCCTTCATGTCCAAGTGCAAAAGAAATCATGAGGGTCAAGACACAAAAAAAGGAAAAGCCTAAGAACACAAGCTAGTTACAGGGGAGAGGAATCTGGTTTGTCTCCCTGAATCCTTCCTCCTCTGTCTCTGTGGTTAGGGTATGATTTTGGCATGGGACAAAGTGCATATCCAGAAACACAAATTTGCATGTCCAGACAAAAAGTTCATGCACTTTATCATTCCCACTGAGAGTTCTTGTGGGTTTCTGGTGAAATAACAGATTCCCCTCTGTCCAAGAATATTCTGGTCAGGGCTTAATGTCTCAGTCTCCATTATCATTAAGATTGATTTCTTTCACACAACAGCTACTACTTCATTTCTTGCCTAAAAGGTTGCTGACAGCCAGGTCCTCACAAAGGAATAAGGCTTGGTCTTGTTTTGAAAATAAAAATTATTCCAAGGCTTATATATGAAGACAGAACTCCTCCCTTTCAGCTCTTCCACATGCTTAGTCTTAAGAATTTATGTCCCACCTCTCCCTCCGAGTTGGATAACTACTTTAAAGGTAATCTTGAGGTATTTCTCACCAGGTGTGGTGTCTCTCCCTCTGCTCCTTGTCCTGCTGGATGCACAGACACAGACTGTGCACAGATACTGGAGGTTTTCCTTAGATTTTCCTTAGAATCATTTTCTAAGATGGAGAAGATTAAACAGAACATTTTAGGACTGAAAAGATAAATCTTCCACTGTACATATTTCAACACTCAAAAAAACAGTAAAAGGCGTGAGGTGGAGGATGGTTTCCACATCACTGAGAAACCATCATTTTGTAGAGCTGGGCCAAGCAGGGTTCCAGTTTCACAGACTGGTGGTTATTAAAGCTGTACTCTATTTTTTTCTCTGTTCTTTTACTGGCGGCAAGATCCAGATAATAAAAGGCTGAATGTGTCATCACCCCAGGCAAGCCATTCACTAGCATCTCCTCCACTCTGGGATACATAAGTGAAAGAGAAGATGTATTTTTGTACAGTGGTACACTACAGCTAGTTTATTCACTTCTGAGGTCATTGTGTCTTCTCCAGAGAACTTTACTGTTTCAGTGGACACATCAAGGATGCAGAATACAAGCATAATAGAAGCAATGAAACACTTCTTTGAATACAACTGCCTGAAATCATCAAACCCATAACTCTATGCAAGGAAATAAATCACAGTACCCCTTTTACAAGTTACAAAGATGTGTTTAAATGGCAATTGTCAGGGCAACAAGATCTGTAAGACATGCTCGTTTCCTACTTATTAAGGTGGACAAAATAATAACACTAGTACTAAAAAGCCATTCCCTTGACACAGGCCATGCTTACACTAGCCACCTTGGCAATTTTCTTCTGCTCTTTTAGAGAGACAAGCACAGGTCAGTAGCACTAAGACATGCTGGGGAAACTAACTGGTACCTCTGCAGAGAACTGCATGGGCTGTACAGATGTGCCTAAGGAAACACATGTCCTGAGTCATCCAAAAGGAGGTTCTGGGGAAAAATCTAATAGGTCTCAGTTGTTGGTGGTTAATGCATCCTGTTTCCCAAAGAGTAAGGCCCAGCTGTGTTGTCACAAGTCACCATCTCAGTTGCAACATCCCAGATATACTGAAGTCCTTGAAAGTTCACATCTGGTACAGAAAGCTAATGGTTACACTTTAGCCAAGTACCTGGTCTCCAGGTTCTTTTCCTTTGATTAAGAGCAAAGAGCCTGGCCAACAGGAAATAAAGCTGACAAGTTTCCCCAAGGCAACTGTAACTTTCAGTCCCTTTCAGTGACTAAAAAACTATCCTGGTCCAAAAACCAGCACTGTACTGTTTCCTGAAGAGAAAAATTGCATTTTAAGCAAAGTGGAGGGAAAAGCAGACCATTTACAAGGCATAGAATGTATTTCAAGGAGATACAAGTAGGTATGATGGGATAATGAAATAGCAAAAAACTTCAGAAACCACAGACACCAAGAGCTGCTCTGCCCATCCTAGGATAGTGCAAGGTCTGTCTCTTACCTCTGGATTCCGGAGCTGCCAAGGATGGAGCCACAAAAAGCACAACCTCCCCCCAGCTCTACTCTTAAACAGCAGATTAAATAATTTACCTTTTTTGTTTTCTTCATAGGTATCAATTTTTTTCTTTACGTCAGCTCTAAATCCCTTTAAAATATCTTTCAGCACTGACAGGTCATCTTCTTTAATTATCTCATTTCTTTCCATTTCCAGTAAGACCTGCAACATAGACTGGTAAAACAAAAACACATAACCCAAACTCATACAGTGACCTTCAATAACTGCTGTATCAGGCACCTCTGAATAGAGCAGAAGACACATCCTCATAGACATTCCCATAGACAGACCAGCTAAAGACCAATTTATTTTTTCTCCAAACCTCATTGAAACAAAGGCCAGGTTGCAACGCAACTGAAGAAACAGATCACTAAGGTGAAGACAGGATTATTAGAAGTTGCTTATGGCTAGGTTATCCTGCTGTGTTGCAAAGCACTGATGTGGATAATATCATGCCATCCTGTTCTGCCTCTGTTCAGATGAAGAGCAGTTAAGTCATTTACTGTGCTATTCTACATTTTCTATTACAGAAAAGGCATTCAGGGCTAATTTTGTTTTTTAAAGCTCAATAGTCCACCAAGTTGGAGGTAAATCTGCTAATTCTCCTATAAGAGAATCTCCAATACAAATAGGATTTTAAAGGAAGTTTCTTAATAATATCAAGTGTTCGTTTAATACCAACACTGTTCATTATTTGCAAGTATTAAACTAGCTCATCAAACCTCTTCATACTTTTATTGGGAAGTTAACAAAATGCTGCTACCCCAAAACACAATAAAGAAGAAAACGTACCCAATGACACATAAAAATTTGTGGTTGAACTCACACTGGGATTCAATTTTCTGTTTCCAAAACATTGTTTCTCCTCCAGCAAACATCACTCTTCCTAGGTATAGCATATGTACAAATGTCTTATAAATGCCAAGCAAAGAAGAAAGATACAGCATGATGGATTTGCAAGAAGGAAAGATTAAGGAGACAGATAGTGGAAGCAAAATAGGAACAGGAGAAGAAAAAAGGGCAAAAATACAATAAGATAAAAAAGGGTCCCTTCTTTCACACAGCAGCTATCAGCTACCATCACAATTGTTTCAACAACAGGTTTTAGTGAGAGCAGATTGTTTTCTCTTTCCTCCCTTCTTACAAGAACTAGCAGACTCTGAACTAGCCTTGCAAAAAACTTATCGAGGTCACTTTGCATACAGCATCATCCTGGAGCTTGTTCTTTGGCATTCGATCTTTAAGCAGGAACTTCACTTTTTTGACATCATCTGGAGCCAAGTCTTCTGCTATTCTGTATAGCAGTTCCCTGGCAATAAAAATAGAGAAAGACTGATTAAGAAAGTTATGAGAAATAAACACCAAAATTACACATTTGAACTGCAAAACATAACACTCACAATGGCAGATAGTCATGCTGGAATAAATGCAATGATGCAGTGATATTCATAAGGCAACAGTGCAGACAGAAAACTAAACAGTCCACAACAGAACTGTTGTACATTTTGTATGCAAAAGTTTACTACTTCTGTGCTTACCTGTAGGCAGACACCTTTGCCCTGCCCGGGATCTGAAGCTCTCTCGCCATCTCCTC